GTTGTATCTTTATCCGGTTGTTTCTGATGCTTAGACTATGTCACCAATTCTCTCGGGCGACAATTCTCCATCGCGTCAGCGGCGTGGTTGGCTTGATCAGTCTGTAAATGTGGCGGCGTTCGTACGCGAACAGCCCTTTCCTCTGTGGGCCAACGTCTACGGCGTGGTCTTTGGAAAGAGAGGCGAGTTCTATGCCATCGGACGTATCAAGGCCAGTTGCAGCCTTCAGGTCAGCCTCTCCATTAATCCTCAAAACATTTTGTAAACCTGATCAGCACAAAACCTTGTTGTACAGATAATTTCCTCTTTTCTTGATGTTAAAAGCTCTGCAATCTTTGTGATGGCTTTCTCACTCTGAGACTCATACGGGCTGGGACGGAGTCTGGAAATGGATTACGCTGATTGCTAACTGGAACCTTATCACATTCATCCCCCTGGACTTTAGGTGGGCTAGGCATTCTAATTGTTACATTCGTGTAGCAATCAGATGCCTGCTTACTTTTCATTTCTGTTATTCGGCATAAATTACTTCTGATCAAGTTTTCTACCTCATTCGTTAAGCTGAGTTGATTTAATGGAAATCACCATTTTTTCATATGGTTAAGAGCCAAATATGTAAAAACAATTTTTGGTCATGCGGCCGTAGTGTTAACTTCCTGTGGGAACTTGAAAACGGTTTATTCTTGCTTTCTGGCTTTTATTTTTGGAGTTAGAATCCAAACAATGGTCTTTCATTAAGGGATGGCAACTTTTTGTTAGAAAATTAGGTTTTTCGACTTCTAAAATGCCCGCTTCATGGTGCTAATAACGGTCTGCTGCAATGGCATTTGTTAAATTAAAAGGTAGAGTGGATCCTTGGTCAACCCCAACCTTTGAGTTTGCTTCAGTTTTCTGCTCTGACGAAAGGTTCTACTATTGCCTCAGTACTTGACTTAATCTTAAGACGAAGAAGAGTTTCTTAAGCCTGAGTGTATGCTTAACAATTTATCCGTTGACGCACCGTTTCCGTGGTTTTAAGCGATAAAGCTTTTTTGTCTCATCCTATGATGCTTATGTCTCAATGGTCGGAATCTAGCACACGTTAACTGTC